AATTATTCACTTGTTTACATTGTTACATCGTTAATAAATAAATAATTTTTTTTTGGCACGCTTTAAAATAAATAAATAAATAAATTGAAAACGTATATAAAATTATTATTATTATTATTATTATTATTATTTTCTAACGGTTTTCTTAAATATCGTAAACGAAATTTTTCTTTTTATTTTTTCCAACACAAAAAAAATAAAAAAGAAAATGTTTCTCTCTCTCTCTCACACACACAAGGTTTTCGACAGATAAATTCACCGGAAACTTTATTTTCTATTCCCCTTTCCCCTCTCTCTCTCTCTCTCTCTCCTCCTCTTCCTTCTCCCTCTCCTCCCGAAAAAAAAAACGTTTTTCTTTTCTTTTCTTTATTATTTGATTTTATTCGAACGTTAAATAAAAATTTATGTGAACTCGTTTATTTATTTAAGTTTTATTTAGTGTTAACTTTTTTTTTTTTTTTTTTTAAACCATAAATTCTGACTACGGTACTGAGTTATTATACTCTTTCGCGTTACCGTTAACTTAAGGTTAAAACTAATTTTTCATTTTTTGAAATTTTTTGAAATTTTTTTTTTAATAATAATTATGATTCGACATTTTTGTTTTTTGACTGGATTCAGACTTTATAAAGCAATCATTTTAAATATCAGGGGTTTCCCCGATTGTTGTTGTTGTTGTTGTTTTTGTTTTTGTTTACTATAAAACTTTTAATTTTTTTTTTAAATTATTAACATTCTAAAAGTATTTATGTTTAGCATATATTAAAAAAGTTTTATTTAAAATTTATTAAAGACTAACAATGTAATCTCTTGAGGGTAAAATGGAAAAAGGAAAGGAATGAGAAAAATATATATATGTATAAAGGGGGGGGGGGTAAAGAATAAGAGTGAAAACGATAGAAAGAAAATGACAGAGAAAGAGAGAGAGAGAGGGAGGGGAAAATGGGGTGAGAGAAAAAAGGAAAAAGAAAGAAGGGATTTCAAATTTTATGTGTTAAAGTTAAAGAGAGACGGCGAATCTTACAAAATGTCTCTGATTATGTTTCTTTAAAATCTTAACTTTAACGTTTTCCCCCCTCCCCTCACCTTCACCCCTCCTTCTCTATTATTTTAACTATAGTTTAAGACTCTCGACAAAATTAAATTTCTTCAATTGAATTATTAAAATTTTATAAATGTTTATTTTTATTTTTTTAATTTTATTTTTTATTTTTCATCGTGTAAGAAGATAAACGTGTAAATAATAAAACAAAAGAAAGTATCGGAGGAGTGAGAGACAAAAGAATATTTAATAATTAAAATTAATAAAACGAAATGTAAATTAATACGAATAGTGAGTGATGGTTGATGATAATAATAATAATAAATTTCGGTTTCGATTCTTCTAGTTATGATTTTCCCCAGCCCCCACCGAAGCCCCCGCCACCTCCCCTCCCTTCCCATCTCCCGAACACAAATTCAAATTCATTCATTCATAATTTTCTTTTTTTAAGTTTTTTTTTAAAACGTGGCCATTTTAACACCCTTGTATTTATATTTAGTCACGTTTCATCACAATAATAATAATGATAATAATAATATTAATAATAATAATAATAATAATAATTGTTTTTTAATTAAAAAAAAAAAGTCTCGAATTATTATTATTATTTTTTTTTTTATTCATTCATTCGTATAAAAACCCTTAATAATTAAATTAAAATTACGTCATTTTTTTTTTTTTTAAATAAAAAACCCATGTAAAAAAAAATTATTATCATTATTAATAATATTATTATTATCATCGTAAGTATTAATTTTCATTTTATTTAATGAAAATCTGTAGTAATAAAATATCTCTTATCTCTCACTCAGTTTTTTGGCTTTAAATTAAATCCCTTTTTTTTATAAAATAATAATAATGATAATAATAACACGAATAATTGTTTAAACAAATTGAAAATATGTTTTAATTTAAAATTATTTAAATAATAATAATTATTTTTAAAACTGTTTTTCCCGCCAAATCTGTTTAGTATTTTTTTTTATACGCGTCGCGTTAAATAATCCGTTTATAATGTTGTGTTAAAACCGTTAAATACGCGGCGAAAAGGAAAAAATCGCGTTTAACGTCGTCGTCGTCATCGACGTCGACGTCGACGACGATGTCGTCCTCCATATTTTCCCATTTATAATACTTAATACGTAAATAATTGTAGTTAGTTATTAAATAATAAAACGGTTTTAAATTAAATTGGTTTCGCGTGAGGAAGCGTAAACGATTTTCCAACGAGAAGCGAATTATTATTAAAAAATATAATGATAATAATAATAATAATTATAATTCGACGTGAAATATTTGTCTTGCGTCGTATTTATTTTACGACGTGTCACGTTACAAAAAAAAAACTAATGCCACGTCAAAAACAAAACGAAATGTACGACGATATCGATCGTGAAATGCATTCATTCGTGTTTGTTTTTTAGAAAAAAAAAAAAAAATTATGATTGGTTGATAAATAACACTTAATAAACACACGCACGTGCGTATCATAAAAATAAATAAATAAATAAAAATCCAATCGAACGTTTTATTTTTTTTTTTTGTTTTAAATTTAATTTCGATTGAAATTGAAAAGTGATTAAATTTGTTTAACAAAATCGTTTTTCCCCTTCCTTCCTCTCCCCTCCCCTCCCCTCTTCCCCATCCCACTCTCCGTTCAATTTAAAAACTTCTTTTGTTTTAAAAAAAAAAAAAAAAAACAAACAAAAAAAAAAATAAAAAAAATAAAACAAAATATAAAAAAAAAAAATAAATATAACAAAAAAAAAAAAGAAATGAAAAAGGAAGAAGAAAGGAAAAAAGGAAAAAAGAAAATGAATAAAAAAAGAAAAGAAAAGAAAAAAAAAATTAAACAAGAAGAAAAAGATAAACTAAAAACTCCATTACTTTAATTAAAATCAATTTAAAAAAAAAAAAAAATTTTTTTTTTAAAACATTTCATTTAATTTTCCCCCAAAGGTTTCCTTTTAATTTTTTCCTTTTTTAAGAATCAAAACATTTTAAAAGACTACTACTTCCTCTTTAAAAAAAAATTTTCAACGGAAAAAAAAAAAAAATTTCATTTTTACTTCATGGATTCCGATATAAATATTAATAATAATAATAACGATGGTAATAACGATAAAATAAAATTTGCATACTTAAAAAACGATGAAAATGATAGGGGTAATAAAATGATAATAATAATAACATAAAAATTTTCCAAAGGATGGAAAAAAAAAAAAAAAAAAATTTTTTTTTTTTTTTTTTTTACTAGTTCCAAAAAAAATAATTTAAAACATCCAACAGGGGGCCATTTACTCAAAAAGAGAGGAAAAAAAAAAAAAAAGAGGAAACGTGAAAACGTCTTTTTCCTTTAACGATGATAATAATGATAAATTTTTTTTACCCCCCTTCTGGTAATATAACATCCTTTTCAATAATGTTTAAAAAAAAAAAATAATAATAATAATAATTAATTAAAACGTAAAACTTGATTAAATAATTCAAAATCTCTTTGCTAATAATAATAACAATAACACTAATTATTATTATTATTATTTGAATTTATTAAACGATTAATAAATTTAAACTGTCACTGTAGTCATCGTCGTCGTCGTCGCTGTCGCTGTCATTGTCACCGCTCCCCTCCCTCCCCTCGATTTAAAAAAATATAATTTTTTTGCGTACGTACGTACGTAATAAATTTCCGTTTAAATAATAAAACAAAAAATTAACGATGATGATGATGATGATGATAATCATAATAAATTCATAAAAGCGAATAATTCGTATAAAATATTCTTATAACAAAAAAGATAATCTCATTATAATTAGTTGGTTCTTTGTTATAAATATATATATATAAAAGTAAGAAGAACCAAGTTAAATTAAAGTTAAATTTTCTAATCAGCCATTGTTTTATATCTGTATATAACGTTTAAATCTATTGTTTAAATCCATTTTGGTTAATCTTTTATTTATTATTATTATTATTATTATCATCATCATCATCGTCGTCATTGTTTTTTATATAATGTTATTATTTTTATTTTTTTTTTTATTTTAAACGTTAAGTATTTATTATATGGTAAGAATTAAAATAAAAAAAAAACGTTTTTTTACCGTTCTTTAAGAGTTGGAAGAGGGGGGAGGAGTAGTGGTTAAAAAATTAATTAAATACAAATGATGAAAGTATCAACAGTTGTTTCGGATAAGGAAAGGGGGAGGGAAGGGGGGAAAGAAAAAAAATTACAATTTACTTGTTGCGTAAAAGAAAGAAAAAAAAAAAAAAAATTTTTTTTTTTGGAACGAAACCTTTTTCAGCTGTTGCTTCTTTGGATTTTGCCCAGAATAAAGTCTATTATCTTTTGCTTTTATGCTTCATTTTTTACGTTTTATCCTCTCTCACTCTATCTCTATCTCTCTCTCACACACACACGTTTCGAAATTTTTTTCCTTCTTTTTATTTATCTTTTTCTTTTTAACCGTCGTAAAATAAATTTTTTTTTAAATTTTCTTTTATTTATTTATATATACGTTTTTATGTTTAAACGCGAGTATTATTACGTCAATTTAATTTATTATTATTATTATTATTACCGCGAGTTTAATTTTTGAAAAAAAAAATAAAATTAATTAATTAAACGATTAAATTAATTAACGTTTTAACGATTTCAGGGAGCTTCATCGAGTTTAGTTGTTAAATTTGCGGATACGGAAAAAGAAAGACAATTGAGACGAATGCAGCAAATGGCGGGAAATATTGGTCTTTTAAATCCATTTGTTTTTAATCAATTTGGAGCTTACGGGGCGTACGCCCAGGTAATCAAATCCCACCCATTTTTTTTTTTTTTTTAATAAATTTATTAAAATTCTAATTGGAAACAAAATTTGTAAATTTTTTAGCAAGCGGCTCTTATGGCGGCAGCAAGTCAAGGTACATATATAAGTCCGATGGCAGCACTTGCGTCGCAATTGCCACACACGACATTAAATGGTAAAAAAAAAAAAAATTTTTTTAATATTTATTTTTCCCTAACGAATTTATTAAAAATAAATAAAGAGGGGGGGGAGAAATTTAGAAAAATTATTGTTTGTAATAATAAATGTTTAAAGAAAATAAATAAATACATTATGTAGGTATAAACAGTGCGACATTGTAATTTATCAAATTAATTGGGTAGCTTAAGAGAGAGCACAAAGCTATTTGTCTTACGGTTATCTTTTTATAATAATTTATCATTTTACATAAATAAAAAATTTTCCATTTATTACACAAAAGTTTTTTTTTCCCCCCCCCCTCCCCCCGTTCGATTAAATAAAAAAAAAATTATTAAATAATTAATTTTAGGCGGTGGAGGAGGACAACACGTTAATGGTGCAATGCCAAGTTTACCTTCTCCAACGATACCTAATTTTTCAATGGCGGCTCAAACTCCTAACGGTCAACCTGGAGGTACGGAACCGGGAGTTTATTCAAATGGAATTCCACAAACGTATCCAGCATGTAAGTAATAAAATAACCGACATTTTTTTTTAAAAATAATTTTCAAACGGATAATTTTTAATTTTTCCTCTCCCCCCCTCTCTCTCTCTCTCTCTCTCTCGGAAAATCCCTCCCCGAGTTTGAGAATTTTCGTATATAGTTGTAAAATATATTTTCTTAACCGCTATTTCCTGGAGGGGTAAAAAATTATTTTTGAAAATACAAGAGCGAGCGTACTCTTACTTTTCTTTAAAAAAAGAGGAAAACTCCGGAGGCTCCCGTTATTATTCCCTTTTGGGGAGTCACGTTTGACATAATTTACTACAAGTAAAATTTCATCAAAATCTTTAAGCAAAGTTAACACTAAGTAAACAAAGAATTTGAAAAGTGTGTGTGTGTGTGTGTTGTACATCAAAGAT